CATGAAGTAAAATAGCCTATTGCTTAAATATTGTAGATCTTGTTATTTTTCATATGCAGCTACCCAATGACAAACTGAAAAAGAATGGCTTTGGAATCCACTGTGGCAGGCAGACAACACCTTTTAATACTGGTAAAACAGTGCAAAAATGATCATTAATCAGTGCCTTAGCAACACGTTTTTATGCAGAATAATTTTTAAAAAGATAATAGGGGATGTTTTTAAACAAGATACAGGAAAAAGAACTCAATACCATTTACTGAAGTACTCTATCATAAAATTATGGACTCGCCTTGATCTACTTCTCATCTGTGTTTTCAAATAAGCTCTGTGAAGGAAAGCATCTACTGTCTGTCAGTCAACTCAAGTACCATCTGTAAACTGCAGCGATGAACGATGTGTGTTTCACATGACCGTGCTTTGCAACTTAACAACTAGCTGTGCGACAGCAGTAGCCATGTGATAAACAGAGAGGCTTTTTTCAGAGCAGACATTTTGAGTTGGCAAAGTAGGAAAAGCACCCTGAAACCCTGAAACTAAAGCAGCTAAATGTAATTCAGCTGTAATTGATTTTTTATTAATCACAAATATTGATTTTTTTTCATTATTACTTACTTAAAGAGTTTTAAGTTCTATTGTTATATTCAGCTAGACTGAGCTAGAACACTTCTTCTCTTCGTCTTGTATAAACCTTCTATTATTTTTTGAAGTCCCCCTCCACTCAAAAATATGTTTTCCTTCTTGTTCCTATACAGTCGGATGTTTGAGCTTCACTGCGCAGAATAATGTATGTGCAGAGTTTGACACTAGAAGGCTGTCTTCACATTGATCTGCTGAAAGTGGAAAGTTTCTCTGTGCTCATTGAAAATCAGATTTTAACACATCAGACACACACATTGTTCCAAGCAGACCATTTATATATATTTCTTAATACATATGTGGAGGGGGGCTTTAAGATTATGACACGGACGTGCCTGAGCCTTTGGATCGGGAAATAGGTAGGGAGGAACTGTGTGTATTTTTAGTTTAGTGCTCTTGTGTCTTTTTTCTTTCAACGTCAGTTTTAAATAGTGTGTTGACTGATCTTTACTTAATAGCTGGCCAGTAAGTTGTTCTAAATTATTGTTGTAATATCTGTGTTCATGATGCTTAGTAAAGCATTAACACTTGCTTCTGAAACATATAGGAATATTATCTTGCCACAAAGCTTTGTCTAGCCAGTATTTTTACAACTACTACAAACCAAATTCCTGTTGAGAATGTGAGTTTGCAGAAAAATTGAAGCCTAAGGGTAATCATTTCTTGGTGCAGATGGTCCAAAATACATGAGAATAATTTCATAAGGTCTTTTCATAATGTAGCTTTTGCAGTGCTGTGGTTGTGTAAATTTTAAAATGTGCCTTGCAGCAACAGTCAGGATTGTTTTTTCACGACATCACAAGCATAGCAATAGCACATATCTTTCAACCAAAACACAGCTTATTTTGCTTACCATACATAATTATATGCACATGTTGTGGTGTAGATATTTGCAAACATGTTCAGTACCTCGGATTTGTTCAGCGTATAAATAGCCTGTGGGAATTTGCAAACCACGTTGAATACATTGAATTTAGCATACTTTTTTTAAAAAGACAAATTGACTTTCCCCGAAACTAAGTAGCATTTCTAGCATTTCTACCTTCATGTATACTGTATTCAGAATTTGATTCTCTTGCATTTCTACATCTTCAAATTCCAATCAGAGTCCACATGATGAGAAATAGCTCTACATGATGACATTTAGGGGCAACAGCACAATTATGTACAGAGGTTGTACTTCGTGCACTGTCACTGCTCAAAAGATGTAAAAGTTATTGGGTTTTTCTAATGGTAAGGGCAGCAGTACAATAGGGCTTTTCGTCCTTTGGGCAGTGTTTGACAGGAAATGTTTGTACCTTTGGCTTGTATACAGCAGCCTGTAGCTGTGTGGCAGAGGGAAGGGGGGGGGGACATGAGTTGGAGAGGAGAACAGGCTGAAGGAACATTCAGCAACAATATCCTTTCTGATTAAACTTTACATATGTCAGCACTTCAAAAGTTTCCCCATTATTATTTATCCCACATCCCCTCCAAGAGCCTCGAATATTCATTTGATCTAACCTTTTATTCCTTAGCCTACTGTAAATTGTCTCAAACTGGATACATACACTTTTAAAAACGTATTGCAAGTAATTACAGATTTCCTGGCTGAATATAACTGTGCTTTGAAGGCAACAATTGATTCATCCTTGTAAATGTACTTGAACCATTGACATTCAAGACAAATCTTAGTTGGTGAAGTAGCAGTGCTAGTAGTAGTTCTGTTTTCTTGTTAAAACGGCAAATTATAGGGCACCCTGGTAGCCCTGTTACGAAGGACTGTACCAAGGCTGAGCAGCAGTCAGACGCCGACCTGTGGTCCTGCGTGTCATCGCTGCGCTCTCTCTCCCCACTTTCCTGTCACTCTACAGCTGTCTCTATCAATTAAAGGCAATAAAAGCCCCCCCCCAAAAAAAAAATTAAAAATGACAAATGAATTGGTTTTACAGTCTGTCGACAGAGGAGTGAGCCAACTATAATGAGATCAAAACGGCAAAGACAAACGACCAGAACTAAATCATTATTTATTGACAGAACTAGCATATGGCGGCCAAATGTGAGACTTGAATAACAATGAAATTGTGCTGCTGCAATGATGTTTTGCTGAAGAATTAGTCGTCTGGGTGCCCCAGTAGCTCACCTGGCACCCCATGTAGCAAGGCTGAATCCTTGCTGCTGCGGCCGTGGCTTCGACTCCAACCTGTGGCCCTTTGCTGCATGTTATCCCCCCTCTCTTCCCCCTTTCCTGTGACTCTTCCACTGTCACTTTTATCAGCCAGGAAATGATATATATATATATATATATATATACTAGTTACTGCTACTGTTTTGTAGAGTACAAATGTACAAAGTATATAATTTATGTAATCAGTTCCTTGGAGGACTGGAGAGCTACTATGTGATTTATGTGATTATAACATCTTTCAAATTCTTCTGGTGCAGTCTATTTCAGCCCTTAACTCTTATATCTCTTTCATACCAGATTGATTCGCTGTGGACTCATTCGTATGTAACAACTGTATCATGTTAGTCTCTGGTTGTCATCTTTGGCAGAGACTACAATCTAGTTCACTACACCTCACTGCTAAATCAGAGAAAAAGTCATCAGTTTCACTTCTTCAGCTTTCTTTGTACAGTACATACGTACTCTGTCTCTCACTTGCTCACACGTGCATGTTTTCTATTACTCCTTCTTGCCCCTTTCTCTCTTGTTTGCTCTTTCTTTTTGCTTTCTGTCTCTCTTTTTTGGGAGTTAAATGATGTTCAAACATCAGTACCATTACTAAAGCTGGGCAGCCTACAAACCATGTGTAATCCCGGTTGAGAGCAGAGTTGCGTAGGTCGTAGAGTCAGCTGAACTGTGGTGACTCATTTAGGCGGTAGTTACAGGTTTGGTGCAGGTTCGTCAGTCTGAATGGAATGGGGCAGGAAGGTGGAGGTTTGCTAGTTTGCTGTCTGCTTGTGCAGACAATGTGTTGTCTAACCATGTTAGGCAACACAAGGTGTTTACAGCTGTTCTCAACAGACATACTTGAAGGCAGGGTAAAAAGCCGGTCCCCCCCCAGGGAGTTGTGAGCCGCATATATTGTTTAAATATGGAGACAACATACACTTTCCTGTCAACCTGTCCTGGGAGAGATTCTTATTGTTTGTTGGAAATTGTTTTGTAAAGAATGAAAAAAGAGAGAAGAAAACTGCAGAAGACATGCCCAAACGCTGTGAGAATTTTGGATTGTCACTTTCGCAGAGTTACAGAAATAGTTGGACACAGGCCCCCAATACCGACGCAGAAAGGTGTGGGAGGAGGGGGGTTCAGAGATTGTTAGACCAACCATTTGTATCCTCAGGTGTCAGGATAAGGAAGAAGTGGCATGCATTGCTGTCTTAATATCAAACTGTCTGCATGCTAAAGTCAATAGTGGCTTCAATATCCAATCTTTGTTAAATCTTTGACAATCAGTAATTTAGATGGAGTGAAAATAGTTAGGAGGAGCTGCTTATGACTGAAAAACTTAACAAGGTCACTTGTGTATGTGCATGCTTGTGTGTTCATGCAAGCATACAGTATGTGTGCAGTTCATATGTACAGTGACTGTAGTGACACGGCAGGTTCTGCATCTTCTGTGACGTAGGAGGGTGCTTTCACCGTGGTGCTAAGTGATTAGGTTGATCTCTGGGGAGAAGTTTAATTCTCCTCTGAGTAAGGGTGCCATTAAAATGCAATGACATGAGATTAATGCTCATCTTGTAAGTGACATTTACTTTCTCATTTACCGTGGAAATTGTCTTGCAATATTGTGTGCTTGGTGTTGTTGTGAATGCTGATGAGTTTCAGAAGCTGCTCAAAGTATTGTGCTTTGACAGTATGAAAAATGTTGAATGTGCTATAAAAAGAGGAAGGGTATCTAGCTGAGTAAGGGACAAACAGTAAAACAAGACCATCAGCAAAACGGGACTGTGAACTTTGAAACGGCGGTTTACAGTGTAGATCCCAAATCTATTGTATGTTGGATAAATGGCCTTCCTCAGCATTAGTAATAGGACTGCAGAAGCTGATACCTGATCAGAAACATGATTTATAATGCAGTACCATTGTTCTGAAGTTGCTTTTGAAAACGTACAGTTTACTCTGAGGATAGTGAGTAGGACAAACCTTGGCTTTATGCATCTTTTGATTTCCCGTAAGCTCCCATAAAGGGGCTCTAGCACAATGGAATGTCTCTATGTCTCAGGATTAGTAAAACCCTTTACAGTGTGAAATTGATTGCGCTCCCTAATAATGTCTCTATGTTTGTGCCTCATAATATTACATTCATCCTCTTTTTGCGTTTTCTGATGCAGATTTCTTATCTCTCTTTTTTTTTCATTTTCTCTTACAGATTGTCTGTACGCAACTGCCCAAACTGTGTGTGCGCGTGTGTATATACACACACTTGTGTGAGAGCTGGGAGCACATACTATATGTGTATGTGAAATGAGGAGAAGCTAAGTGGCCTCCACAACCACCCAGATCAGACGGCCTCCTGTGCTGCAAGATGGATTAGAGCCCCACACCTCAGGAGATCAAAGGTAGGAGAAGATGTTTGGTAATCAGCCGCCACTCACCTGCCCTGTTCAATGACTGCATGGAGAGAGTGAAGAAGAGAGTGAAGGAGAGAGTGAAGGAGAGAGGAAATAACGAATCACAATGAGTTTAGGTCTGCCTGCGTGTGCCTCTGTGTGCTGCATAGGCTGAGGCCTGTCATGTCAGCAAACTTCATCATCTGTTGAAATAAGAGGGACTAAGGAAGTAATGCACAGATTGTAATGCTCTCAACATTCACTATGATTATCAAACTTTCTGAATCCACCCTGAAAAAAACTGTAAAAAAAAACAGCTACTGGTGATATACCCTGCACTGGAACCATCATTACAAACACATTTAACTGACTTTTGCTTAAATTATTTTACTTTAGCAATGGTTCAGAAGTTTCCAAAGACACCAGATATGCCATGCTGAATTTAATGATAAAGTGTACAAAATGTGTTTTTATTTTATATGATGCTACATACATAGCATCCAATTTGAATATTTTACTCAAAATAAGGATCATATCACAAAGCAGCGGTGCAAGCACAGAGAGAATCTCTTTTTTGACATTGTTGTACTATAAATTGTTGAAAATCTGTTTTATAATTTGGATGCAACTGAAGGGCAATATCTGGTTCAGGAGGTTAATTTGAGTAAATATCAACAATCTAAAACATCACTGTTCAGCATCAGGATAGCCTTCTGAAAAGCCGCCCACCATTTTGTCAGCGATTCCAAAAAGGTCTGGTACTGCTCTCATGAGTTGCAGAAACAACTGAGCCAGGGAAAACAAACACACACACACACACACACACACACACACACACACACACACACACACACACACACACACACACACACACACCTCTGCTCTCACTGTTGTGATTAGTATGCTGTATTGCAAGTTCCATCTATAAAAAACAAGGAAAAACAAGTCCAGGCAAGTGTTGAAAGTGCAGGAAAACGCTAACTGATTTTGAAGCAGATGAGGCAGGTTAAGAAAAAATATGACGTAAAGAAGGTGAATAATGTTGACATCCCAAAATAACCGAACTAAACATTACAGGCTGGTGATGTACTGACTGTAACATTATAGCAGTTTTCAGGGTCACGTTTTCCTTTAAGCTGCTTGAGCTTTACTTGCTGCTACAAAAATGGTCGTGGTCACTGTAATTAAACAGCTAAAACATGGATCTATGTCCCCAGTTTGAAATAAAAAATTAAATAAAGCAAATACATCGCTTACGCGACATGCACACTCTCCCTTCTTTTCCGTGAGCGCTACAATGCGTTACAGGATAAGTGGCCCTTTTTTCATCATCACAAAATGTTTTTACAGTACTTATTTGTGACAACAAAAGCTGCTTATTGGCCTATAATTCAGCACATTTGTGTGAAAGGGGATTATTTTATTGAGATTTCTCTAGATGAGAGGTTTTTGTCCATCCATGTAAAATGGATCCATAAAAAAAATGCATTTTCTCTATTTTTAAGTGGTTTCTCTTCCTAAATGGTCTCAACAAGCCTGGCAGATGAACCTTTACCTCCAGTTACCTTCTCTCCTTTTCTAAGCAACAGTTTCCGGATGACTAATTTTTAGCAGACATTTTCCATGCTAAGTATGTTTTTAAAGAAGCACTTTTCCTGGGTTTCTTTTTTTTTTGACAGCTGTTGTGAATGTCAATCATTCCACAGTTTGCATAGCTCCTGTGCAAAATGCTCCTCTCTGGCTCCTCTACATTTATATCATCATATACCTTAAAAACATACAATCAGACAACAAGTTGGAAAGAAAAGGCGACTAATAAAAAAACACACATTGAGTGCGGTTACTGCATGGTTTTGTTAGAACTGATGATACATAGTTCTTCAAAGTTTTAGCATAAAAATGACAAAACAAAATTATAATGAATATGAATAATAATGAATGAGTATGTATTTGCAGCAACATGAGCAGAAGCTAAGGTTAATCTCCTAGTTCAAACAACCAATAAAGATTTTTTTAACAGCAATTTCAGTATTTCTTGTAGGATATGAGGGTTATGTGTGTGTGTGTGTGTGTGTGTGTGTGTGTGTGTGTGTGTGTGTGTGTGTGTGTGTGTGCTGTAGTCGTGTGATTGTGTGTAGTTGTGGTTTCGGCTACCTTATGTAACCTCCTGCTTCCACAGTGTCTGCTTATGTTTTGTCTCATGTCCTCAATACCAACTCTTAATACACCTAACAGCTTTCATAAGGCCTTCACCACTGCATCTACACATTGCAATAACCTAAAACCAAATATGTCTACAGATCATAACTTGAACAACACGTAATGTCGTACTCTGGCACCTGCAAAACTCAGCGAGTCAAACCAACTCTTAGCCCGCCTTGGCTAGATAACAACTAGAGAAAGAAAGAGAAAATGCAGACAGCAGTCTGGTGGTCTCTCCAGATTGATCTTGTCTCCTGTGATCCTTCTCCACACTGCAACCCCTCTTTCACTGTGCATGGTTAATGGACACAATTGCCAAACTAAAGCCTTAATCAAGTCCTTTAGATGTTATGCCTGCCAGATTTCTGAAGGAGGTTTTTAACAGTGTTGGTTCCGCTATTTCATTCATTGTAAATAGCTCTCTCTCTCTCTCTCTCTCTCTCTCTCTCTCTCTCTCCTCTCTCTCTCTCTCTCTCTACTGCCTGTTATCCTTCCTGCCTTAAGCATGCAGTAGGGCACCCGTTCTGAAGAAATCCTTGATCCCCTTGATTTGAATTTTTTGACACATTTCTAAATTACCATTTTTAATCAAAAGGTTATAGAGAAGGTTGTTTAAAGCTGATTTATTTTATGAATAATTGTCGGTTATTATTAGTATTGGTATAAACAATAACTTTGTGCCGACATGAAATGTAACCTTTTGTCCTACATTCTGCCAGCATAAAAACAGGCATAAAATTTCAGCATGCAGTGCTCTCTATCCTCTTTTCCTCTCTCTACTTTCTCTCTGACCTCTCTTACATGTATTTGTTTGTTTCTGACAAAACCAGCTCGCTAAAGCTGCAGAAATGGTGTATTTTTAGACAAAGGTGCCAGACTGGACCCTATAGCAAATGACTGAGTGTGTCAGTCTTGTGCCAGTGCTGTTTATGTAGAAGGATACGTTGTCGTCTGGAGGCTGTCCTCCAACTGTTGTTGCCTGCTGTGCTCTGTTAAGACAAAAATCAAAAAGCGTCACAGGAGGCTTATAAGTGATTACTGAGAGGATCTCAGTTTGCCCAAACCATCAACAATCAACTTTTGTTTTGTTTTCATAGAACCAAACTGGGTGTTAGAAGCACATTGTAGCACACGCATAGTTTCTCAGAGCATAGATTTTCATTTCGAATTCTTCTCTTTTCCACATCAGTGCAAAATTCTCCTTTTAATCCTTATTAGATCGATTTGAAAGCCTACAGATTGGTACATCAGCGCTGGTCTTACACCAGATAGATAGGTTCAGTATATACAAAGAATGATGGATAACGTTTGTCCACCAGAAACTTTTCAATTTCTGTAACAAAAGATATCTTTACTCCACACACATATACAATTGCTTTCATACACAGACAAACACACACTTCTTTAGAAAGTAACACTACTTATTTAGCCTAAGTCATATTACTCTTCAGTGTGCCAGTGACAGAAAAACCCAATTCATATTCATATGCAGGATAACGCGCTTTACACATTTTTTAAGCCACCACATCCCCCCACAGGCAGCTCCAGTATGATGTGAATACAAATGCTAGAACACACAGTATGCTGTAAAGACATTGAATTTCTCTGAGGCACCAGTGCCCTGTGAAATCTAATAGTGACAGAATTTGACTTTTTACTGACTTTGGCTAAAGGAAAGTGGTTTGAGGAGAATTTCCTTGCCCACATGTGCAATCTTGCATGAGATGCAAGTATTGAATATCAGTTCGGTGCAGATGGTGTATTATGGCCCCTCAGTATGTGTCAACCGTGTCAATATTGCCACTGGGTAAATCCTTCTGTTCAGCCATACTGGAACTGTTGAACTCGTCCTGGTATGTCATGCTCATGAAATTATCTTTGCCTCACTTTGTTTACTGCATCATTCTCGACACTGCCTGTAGGAAATTCTTCTCTACCTGCTTAGCAGAAACACAGTGAATGTCTGATGAACTCTGTCCCTTCTTTCCAGAATAAGTTTTATGTAGCTTGAGATGTGTGTCTAATGAGCTGTTTGTATTGGTGTGTTGACTGAATTCATGAGTCTACCTTAGCTCCTGTCTGTGTTGCCGCTGGGCCACCTGCCATTTTCCTGCCTCCTTTCCTGGCTGCTCCTGAGAAGTAGAGATAAGGCCCACTGATGTTTGTCTGCTCCCTGGCAGATTACTGAGGCAGACAGGTACAAGGACTCTGGCAGACAGCTACAGTATACTGTAGGCCAAAGAAGAACTTGTTTGGGATGCCTAAGCTGACCACAGCACCAATCCAGCTTGAATGCCATCTGTTTTCTTTATACGTGCTGTTGCTGCTGAGCTAGTTACTGTTCAAAGAGAAACACGTGAGTCCATGTGGGAAATATCTGCAAACTTCTTTGAACTAAAAACTTAACTTAACTTAATAATAATGAATAATCAAGCATAATGTCACGGATTCTCATTTGATTAATAATGATAGAAATGTAATCAGTAAATACTAATTACATAAATGAGGAATGCAATTAAAGTCAGTAGTCCATCAGCATACCAAAGACTAGAAACACAATAGATTAATTTGTTATACATTTTGTTTTCATAAGATTTAAATCTTATTTTAATGTCTTATTTAGACTAAAAAAGGTAAGTGGGGTGATTTTTTTCTTGTCTCATATTGTCTCGTTTCCAAATATTTAGTTAGAGAAATTTCAGAATAACCTGTTGAAATAATCCGTAGAACTGTTGGTTTGTTTCAGTAAATAATTTTTTTTAGGATTCAATAACAGAAAAAAGGAATAAATAATTGACACAATGGCC